TTTCTCCATTTCGGCGTAGTCCATCATCTTCATCAGCCATTCATTTGTCTCTGGTCAGAACTTTATCCTCTTTCCCTCTCTGGGCCAGAGTAGTATCCAAGTTGCATACATAAATAACCGTTTCTGCTCCTTTGGTATCTCTACATCTATGATTCCTAGTAAAAAAAAGCTCCCCCCCCACAAACGTTATTTTAAACATTTTTTTCAACTCACTATATATCATTTCTCAGAATGCTTTTGCTATCTTTCACATCCACCACCTGTGGTAGTATGTGCCTTCCAAGTAAAGCATTTATCATCTCATCTCATCTCATCTCATCTCATCTCATCTCATCATCTCATCTCATCTCATCTCATCATCTAATCTTGTTGTTGTTGTTTAGTCATTTAGTCGTGTCCAACTCTTCCTGACCCCATGGACCAGAACACCAGGCACTCCTGTCTTCCACTGCCTCCCGAAGTTTGGTCAGACTCATGTTTGTAGCTTTGAGAACACTGTCCAATCATCTCATCCTCTGTTGCCCCCTTCTCCTTGTGCCCTCCACCTTTCCCAACATCAGGGTCTTTTCCAGGGAGTCTTCTCTTCTCATGAGGTGGCCAAAGTATTGGAGCCTCAGCTTCACGATCTGTCCTTCCAGTGAGCACTCAGAGCTGATTTCCTTAAGAATGGATAGGTTTGATCTTCTTGCAGTCCATGGCACTCTCAAGAGTCTCCTCCAGCACCATAATTCAAAAGCATCAATGCTTCGGCGATCAGCTTTCTTTATGGTCCATCTTTCACTTCCATACATCACTGCTGGGAAAACCATAGCTTTAACTATTCGGACCTTTGTTGGCAAGGTCTCTCATCTCATCTCATCTCATCATCTAATCTTATCATTTGCCAAAGCTGCAGACGACAGGGAAAGTGTAGCAGCAAACAGGGTTAAAAAGATGAAGGGAAGATTCTTACATTGCAGTCCCACCCCCAGACATATTCCTGAGCTCCCAGAAGCACAGCTTTCAACCTGGAAATCAATATCCGAGAACATTCCCACAACCCTGGTGGCAACTGTAAAGCCAAAAGACAGAGAGCCATAGTGTAACATCATCTGCAAAGGACAAGAGCCTCTCATCATTAACACTTGGCAGGCGGTTAAAGCCAATTCAGTGATGGATCAGGCTGCTTGTTCTCTTCCCAGAGGACAGAGTTTTAAACACAGCGTGGCTCTTGTAAAGTACTCTATCCAATGTTTGGTCTTGTTCCTCATGTACTCCCTCACATGTGGTGTTGCATACAGACTTAACGCAAGTGTTTTCCCACTTACATTTATTGATTGACTTCAATATTCATTGTTAAAATTTAAAAAAAGCCCTGTAGGAAACAGCCAGAACCGTGACATGAAAAAATATATATTCAGTTAACGTGAATCACCTTTATGCTGGCAGGAAGGCCCACAGTACTTGGGATGGTTCTGCTCAGAAACGGCTCTGATTTCCTTGATTCCCACTGAATTGTATTTCCCCGGCGAGTGTGTTTAATTGTGTTAAGTACCGAAATAGCCACGACTCAAAACCATCAGGGCTGGCTTTAATAGAACAACAGCATGCCGACCTTTTTTGAAAGGAGGAATGAAACACTTAGTCCTTTTCTTCCCTGCAGCGAGATGCACTGAACCATGTTCATTACCCAGAGAATTCTCAATATCACATTCAGTTCCTCTTGCTGTAAAGCCTAATTACTATTCCACAGGGAAAAGCCAAGAGACAAACTCTATCAAAGAAATTCTGGAAGCGTTTCCCTGTGTCCTCAGGGGGACAGCAATGGACAAGGATTCATCTGCCCCAATCCAAGGGTCTCTGAGTTTATTTACTGAGATATCCATCCTATCCCAAGAGCTTGCCGTGGTTTATACTTGTCTAATTTTACCTTCACAAGAATCCTGCAATTGAGGCTAGGCTGAGAGAGACCCCAATTTGCCCATCGACCAATGAGCTTGATGGCTGTCCTAGGAAACATTTGAACCCAGTTTCCTACATTCACCTTTTTTCATACTTTGACAAAAAGTGGGCTGACCTCTAAAATCCTTCAGATTGTATGGAAAGAAGATAAAGTCCCTACCAGAGAAGAATGGCAAACTAAGCTATTGGATTATACTGAAATGGGAAAACTAACCGGAAAGCTCAGGAACCAAGAAGACGAAAACTTCAATAAAGAATGGGAAAATTTTATAATTTACTTGAGAGGCCACTGTAAGCAGATGAAAACATTAGCAGGATTGCAATAACACTTGTAATGTAGAATATATTATGGATAAAATGGAGAGACATAAAATATGGAAGATGAAATAATATGCAATTGAAAAGGTTTATAATAGGACCCATGGAGGGAAAGGTGGGAAGTCTAGAGATTCGGAGAAATCTCCAACTATGGATATGTATTTTGTATTGTTATAACTCTATACTTGTAAAATCAAACAAAAATTATTTCAAAAAATAATAATAAGATAAAATCCTTCAGATTGTACGTACAGGCTGCACCACTTCAGACTGCATGTTTCGAATGCTTCAGAGCTCAGAAATGTTCTGCCCATGGAGAGCCAGAATCCTAGCCTCTTCACAGTAAAGGTTATCTTAACTACCAGAGGCCTAAGTAAATAAGAATGTCTTAGCCTGGCATCTAAAACCTGACAATAATGTCACCAGGCATGTTTCCCCAAGATGAGCATTCCACAAATGCCCGTTCTTCTGGCTGGCCTCTGCAGTGATGCACAACTTTTAATGGTGTGGGTCATGAATTCTCCTTCTTACTGTATTGTTGGGTGAGCATTGTAATGAATTTTGCATTGGATAGTGACTTTAAATGTTATGGCTTCCAATCGGTTTGTATTTTATCATGCTAAATCACTTGGAGATTTGGAGACTTGGTTGTATGAAGCAACTAACATATATAAAAGGTAAAGGGACCCCTGACCATTAGGTCCAGTCGTGACCGACTCTAGTGTTGCGGCACTCATCTCGCTTTACTGGCCGAGGGAGCCGGCGTACAGCCTCCGGGTCATGTGGCCAGCGTGACTAAGCCGCTTCTGGCGAACCAGAGCAGCACACGGAAACGCCGTTTACCTTCCCACTGGAGCAGTACCTATTTATCTACTTGCACTCTGACGTGCTTTTGAACTGCTAGGTTAGCAAGAGCAGGGACCGAGCAACGGAAGCTCACCCTGTTGCGGGAATTCGAACCGCCGACCTTCTGATCAGCAAGTCCTAGGCTCTGTGGTTTAACCCACAGTGCCACCCGGGTTCCATAACTAACATATATAGTAATTAATAAATAAGCAAATCATTATATGTTGTCCACCATCCTGGAATCTATTGGATGAAGGACAGCAGACATATGTTTTGAATCAACAAACAATTCAAGCATGGCCAAAAGAATAGGCTCGTATGCAGAGAATTGTCAGCTCAGAGGCCAGGTTTCCATCTGCCAGGTCTCAGGATAGCATAGTGAGTAAGACTTGGAAACACGGTTGTTTCTTTCTGCCGCAGTTGATTGTCTAGTATCTTGATCTAGCAAACTTTTGGGGAGATTTGTGTCAAATTGAGAGGAAAGATTGGTGTTGAGGTGGGGAGGCATACACTAAGTCCCACGGAATTAATTTCACAAAGTATTGCTCTCTCCCCTCACCACCCCCTGCAAGAACAGACTTTTCATAATTATAGCAAGAAACCTGCCAGTGCAAATGGCTTTAATTGTTTTTAAATAAGGCAGACAGCGCTGCCTCTAATTAGAAGAAAAGCTCCCTGCTTCGAAGGACCTTTATTTCCATGCTAATGTCGGCACACTGCTGCAGCTTAATGTTTGTTTTTGGAATTGGCCTTGTTTTAGGCAGAAGTTTCCAAAAGAGTCAAACACTGGAAATTCTGTGAGCAGTTTGGATCTCGCTGAGCAAGCAAGCACCTGCAGAAAAGCTACGATGCGAACCACAGGGAACGAAATGCTTGGGACAACAGTTGTATGGACCCAACAGAGTCTCTGACCTGGGGCGGGGACTTGGTTTTCAAAAACTCCCCTGCACATACTTGGGAGTTTTTGTGTATTCTTTTGCATCTGAAGCAGGATGTGCCCCCCCCAAAAAAAGAAGGAAAGAAAATTGTTTGGACATAGTAATCCAGAGGTCAGCAAACTTTTTCAGCAGGGAGCCGGTCCTCTGTCCCTCAAACCTTGTGGGGGGCCGGACTAAATTTTGGGGAAGAAAAAGAAATAAAGAACGAATTCCTATGCCCCACAAATAACCCAGAGATACATTTTAAATAAAAGGACACATTCTGCTCATGTAAAAACACGCTGATTCCTGGACCGTCTATGGCCGGATTTAGAAGGCGATTGGACCGGATCCAGCCCCCAGGCCTTAGTTTGCCTACCCATGTAGTAATCTGTGACAGATCGTGTGGAGAAATGGCAGACCTGGTGCAGGGGTAGAGGAAGGGTGGTACGTTGGGTACGGGCCACCCTGGGTCTCACCACTGAGGGGGTGACAAAACGCCAGGCGGCACTCACCACTGGGCCTGCAGCGCACCCGAGCCACATGTCTCTACTGGGAGAGACACAGTGGCTTGGGCGCATGCAGGCTCCATGCTGCCCATATAGTCCGCCCACTGCCTCCCCCCCAGCTGTAGGGCAGCTGAGTGGGAGGAGGTATGCAGACTCCAGAGGCCCTGCAGTGCACCCCGCCCCTTTGGGCAGCTTGCCCCATCCCTGGGCGTGCCACCCCAGAAGCCTGAGCGGCTTCCTCCGCTGCTGACCCGGTGTCATGAACACAGAGTCTAGTAGTGACCAGGACACTGGGTGAGAGGTTACTGGGTCACTGGCTAAGGAGCCAGATCTGGTTCCTGATTCTGGTGGTGGTGATCAGGGTCCTAGTGAAGCTGTGGCTGACAGGCCAGGACATTCTGAACTAGATCCCACAGCACAACTGCCATAGAACTAGAGCCAGGGCTTTTGCGGGTACCTTCCTTGTATCCAAGAAGTCAAGTGCTTCCTAAATTATCTTGCCAGCCCAAGGGTGCAAGGGAGTGCAAGAGGCGTTGGTCCTTTAAGGAATCTAGATCTCAAAAAGTGGGTGGAGCCAAGGAGATGTGGACTGGAGCCAGAGGCTCAAAAGTCCTCTGTTCACTTCCGGCCCTCTCCATGGTGCTGTAGCAACTAATGTGTCATTAACATATGAGAGTGCTGGAGGTGAAATAGTTAAACAGGTTACCTAATCAGAACCCAGGGGGGTGGAGTCAGAGGAACTATAAAACCAGCTCTGGGAGGGGTGAAGGGGAAGTTAGTTGGGTGGGTGGTTGGAGTGGGAATGAATTGGGATAGAGTCTGTGGGTAGGTTGAGTTAGTGTAGCGAAATAAGCTGAGTCAGGAACAGTTAGGAGCTAGGAAGACAAGGAAATATCTGAGAGGTGGTTTAGTGAGTGAGAGCAGGTAGCGGAAGTTATAGGTCTGGATAGGCACCCCATGATTGTAATGGACCAGTACCGTTTATGAAACCACACGCTTGTTAAACTGCAATAAATAAACAGAAGTTTATGTTCCAATTTAACCCTGCCTGGACTCAGTATTGTACCAGGTAGGGCCTGGGTGGCGGCAGCGAGAAACAAAGTGGTGGCACAGGGATCAACAGACGGTGAAACGTCCGGGGACCCTGTGTGATCACTACAACTAAGGATGGAGTTTTCTGAAAATCTCAATGCCCAGCTTATCTGCATGGATTTCCGCCCCCTAATTCCCCATTCACTCCTTAACGAGAAGCAAGGTGTCTTCCCCCCATTTCAGCTAAAGATACAAACAATTGTTGCATTTCATACACATTATTACGGTATCGTACAAATATTATTCGCTCCAGATTTCCTAAAGCAACCAGCACATTAACAGCAGCAACAAAAATGCGTGAGCAGCTGAGAGTTTGATCCAGTTGGAACTGTCAAATTCTGTGTATGAATCTATTTAAAACTGATGCCTGCCTCATCCCTAATGACAGCTGACTTACTTTGCCCCGTGGGATCCTTATGAAGCCAGAAAATTTGAACACAAATGTCTCTTGTTCCACAGTGTTCAGGAAATTAGCTAAGCCACATGTCCCAAACACCTTCTTATTGGGGTCACGGAAAGCTTGGGGAAGGGAATTCAACTTGTGGAAGGAGGTGTTTTTCTGCCTGTCTTCCCTGTTCTTCAGTGTCTCTTGCCTCCCAAAAAGCTTTTTCCAGAGAATTGGGACCCTCTGTGTGTGGCATGAGGGACTGCAGCTTGTTGAAGGAATTGGTGGAAACTTAGAGATGCCCCTCACCTTCGGATCCAGTCTGCGTGCTGAAGATGTATGTACTATATCCTATCCATTTTGTTAAATTTTCCCCGTCGTGGAGTATGGATGGTTACCCAATTTTCTTTTCTGATTTTCCTTTCAAATTCCAAGACTCTCTTTCCCTCCAGAGTTTGAGCTGACAAGGCCCAGAGGTACAACTCATTAACATTTCAAAAACTTGTTCTCCACAGCCTTCCTTTGATGTCTGCGGCGTCTTGAGAAAGGAGTCTTTATGCCTATCCTGACATCCTTTGGCCTCTCCTGAGTTGGAATGGAAGTCCTTAGAAAACTGTTAGTAGATTCATGTGTGTGTGGAGACAACTTGCAGCTCAGGAAATGAGGTTTGTGGACAAGCCTGAGGGTCCTGTATATCCCAACAATTTTATTTGTAGAGCTTAACTACTGAAAGTTTGATCTGGCAAGTCATGTCCTGGTTTGCAACCCTAGGTGAATAGGGGTTCTCCCCTGTACCTTTCCTTGACTTTAATGTAATTAGAATTTGTTAAGTGCTGATAAATACAATCGAAAACATAGGCTCAAGGGTTTGTGTTCCTGGGTGAATAAACATTATAAGCAGAAGAGGGAAATATAATTGCTCATTATAACATACTGCCTTAGATCCAACCAACTCTCCACGGTGTGGGTTGCCACCGCCCAGGACAGTGCAGAGCAGGGTTGAGTAGAAGGAGGGAAAGGGCTGGAGTACACATGGGCATTCAACTGCCTAATGGTGTCTGTGTCACCCAGGAGACCACAGCCACAGAGATCAGAAAAGTCATTCCGTTGTCTGTAGAGGTCACTTCGTGGTTCACACGAAATGAAAGTGCACAGCTGTATGGAGGCAACACCGGGTGTTGACATTTTGTACCCCTAACAACTGTTAGAATTCCTGCTCCATTATTGCAGTCATGGGATTGTTGTCTTTCACATGATTTGACTCCCCAGAGTGGGAAGTGACAGAGACAGGATGTTTGTGTTACTGTGTTCCGTGAAGTGGGACTATTGTCCTTTGTTTTTTTCTCTTTGCTGTCTGATGCTAGAGAGAGAGAGGGAGCCATGTTGCAGTGCTCCGTGTGTGTTTATATGTAAATAAAGTAGATTAGCCAAAATGCTGAGTTGCTGAGGTCTGTTACGCAAAGCTGTGAAGACTCTGCAGATCCGTAAGTGTGCCAATGTCTGTTGGCATCGGTAGCTGTGATGTTCGGGCTGAAGAAAGCTTTTGAAGCTCCCGAACGATCGACCAGGAGGGAGAGAACATGCCAGTCGGGCATGTGTCTCTGCAGGGTCCTACTTGTTTTTTTTTTTAAATCATATTTATTAAAGTTTCCAAAAATATAAAAATACAAAGAAAAAAGACAAAAGAAAGAAGATATTTAAAACCCTTACTTTCATTCCCTACTTTCTGGGACTCCCCCCTCCCCCCCCCACTTGTATTCCCCTTTCCTTAATTTGGTTCTACAAGCTCTCACTCCCAATTTAAAGCTTAATTTGTTTAACCCACTATCCAGATTGAATTGTACAAATCTTACCACCGTCCCACATCATTAACAGAAAAAGAAAAAGATTTTCCCCAAGATCCACCCCAGTTCCTTCCACAAATTCCCTTTTTTTAAACACGTCCGATCAAAGTAAAATAACATGCGTAAGTTATGTAAAGAAATAGAAAATAAGAGATATAGAAAAGTTCAAAAAATGGTTACACAGCCTTTGGATTTCAATTCTCCCCCTTCCCGGTTTGAATTCCCCATGTCCATCAGTCTATACATTATCAGCTTGAAGTCTCATTTCATGACCAGATTTCTCCCGATTCCATCTTGCCGGTTTTCTTTTAGTTTATTAATTTAAATAATATTTGACTTCAAATGTCCAATCTAACAAAGGCCTTTAATTTCCTTGATCTTTACCACTCCTCCCGTTGTTCTTTCCGTGTCGTAATCAGTCCTTTATTCTTCTTATTCCTCACTTTCTCAGGTTTCTTGTCCTGTTCAGCTGCTAAAACTTTCTAATTCGAAAATCTAGTGTCTCTGCAGAGGTTTGTTATTCAGGAACAAAACTTACGTCCAGTCCCTTTCTTTCTTCAATAAAAATTCCATTGTCTTCCTCTGTAGACAAAATACTCTTTCAGTTTTGCAGCTTTCCCAGAAGATAACAAATCCTGTGCGAATCCCAGGGTATTTTTCCACTTACGACCGTTCTTGTAGTATCCCAAAACCCCTCTAGGGGGATTGTAATAACTTTGTATCCTCTAATCCAAAAGTCAAATTGTTGCTTATTTTAGTTTATAACCATATTATAGCAAATTGTAACAAAATTAACCAGCAAGGTCCTCATAACAAAGTCCTCTTTATATTCTCCAGCTTTGACAGCCACTTTGACAGCTGTCAAAGTCTCCGTCTCTCTTCACCAGGCTCCACGAATCGCCCCGGTTCCCAGGGGGGGGGTTGCATTTTCTTCTCACCCTCCACTCTTCTCCTCCAGCACATTTCTTATAATTTCCCATCGTGAAATTAATGATTTTTATCAGAGACATACTTCCCTTTGGACCTTGGTTACCCAGTCCTTGTTTTGGAATGCTTACAATAGGGGGGGGGGATTGACTTCCTTTGTAATTCGCCCGCTCGTGCCAAATCCAAAATTTTGAACCCGGTTTCCCAATTACTCACGGGTTGTTGTTAATAGTCCAAATTTTCAATAGAAGAAGTCAGCGCTCTCCGTCGAATGGCATGCGGCTGCGCTCGACAGGAAAGCAGTGGACTCAAGCACCACGCCACTCCCTGGCACCCGATCCGAAGCCTTTAAAAGGCTCCTTCACGAGTCGGGAGGGCGCTAATGGTGCAAGCCGAGTCACCCATGTCCACGGACTCCGTGCCCGTGGTTTTTAAGGGTCCCCGCGTCGCCGGCGCGGTAGGACCCAGCCCCTGCCGAGCAGACTCCCTCCGGAGCTCGGAGGGAGTCCGCCATTCGGCGATGGCGCTAACCCGGAAGTGCATCCTGCAGGGTCCTACTTGAGTGTAGGCTGAGCTCCTGACAACAACTACCCCTCTGGCCCCTCCCAGCTACATCACTGGCTCTCCACAAATGAAAGGGCTTCTTCCTTTTGTGGAAGGAATTGGGATCTGGTGGAGGCTTCTGCTGGTAGTATACAAGGAACATTTTTTCACTGATCTTCCCTCCCCCTGCGCCGCCTCTTTTGCTGCCCCAGAGAGTTACCCAACCCTCTGGAACAGATTTTCGAGTAGTAAAAGGGCTGCAGGGGGAAGAGGAGATTCATTAAAATGACTCCCCATTTCAGTGGCAGCAGCATACCAGTAAGTCAAACTCCATTCATAGGATGCTCCCACCAGCAGAACCTTAATTAGGATCTGAACTTATGTTTTCTGGGTGAGCAATACAGATAGAATTCTGTACATCAAGGCCAAACTAGATGTGGTACAGAATAGCTATGATAAGATTCTCCTGCTTTTCCATTTACTAATTAGAAACCCCAAGCAGGAAATTTTGGGTGGTTGGGGGCAGGATTCAGTTATGTTCTGCTCACATTTTAATGCAAACCTACCCTGTTTGCACTTCCTGAAATGATATGTGAAACGAAACACAGACATCCTCCAAGGGTGTATAATTATTATATATATGTGTGTGTGTGTGAACAAATAATACAAAAACACGTTATATGAGGGAGGAAATGCTTACCAAATTTTGCATATTAGGAATTTTCATGAGGACTTTCTTTTCTTTCTTTCTTTTTAAAGGCAAACTGATGCGGAGCTGATTTTGTGGGTGGCATTCAATTGAATTAAATTGTGCAAGCAAAACAATGCCTGCGTGTGCAACAGGACATTCCCCCTTCCCCCTGTGCAACATCCCTCCCCCGAAAAAAATATGTCCTAGGTATCCTCCCAACCCTCTGGAGCAGGGACAGTGTGGGGTGTACACAAGGGGAGGAGACAGGGCGGGGAAGTCCCATTGCACAAAGAGAAGTCGTTCTACTTGGGCAATTATTTAGCTGAATGCTATGCTGCCCTAAGATTGGAAAAATGAGAAAGACCTAAATTGACAGGTTCATCCAACCCTAGGCTGCTTTGAAGCTTGGAACAGTGGCACTCTGGGGGAGGGAGGTCAACCCTTTCTTCTAGAAATTTTCTAGAAACTGCTCTTTTCCAGAAACTTTTCCAGAAACTGCTCGAGGGGTCAGGGTAGAGTGGGGGTTAGGTACAGGTGTTGTACATGACAGCACTGTTAATAGAAGGCACAGGGAGTGATTAACAGATGCTTCAGGGAGAGGGCAAGATGATAAGGTCCAGCTGTCTCTCTGAATGGATCCCTTCCCCAGTCTTCAAAGCAGCCCCTAGGGCTACTAATTACAAAATGAAAGGGAGCTGGTGGCGCTGTGGTCTAAACCACTGAGCCTCTTGGGCTTGCCGATCAGAAGATCAGCGGTTCAAATCTCTGCGACGGAGTGAGCTCCCATTGCTCTGTCCCAGCTCCTGCCAACCTAGCAGTTCAAAAGCACAGCAGTGCAAATAGATAGGTAGGTACCACTGTGGCAGGGAGGTAAATGTCGTTTCCGTGCACTCTGGTTTCCATCACAGTGTCCCGTTGTGCCAGAAGCAGTTTAGTCATGCTGGCCACATGACCTGGAAAGCTGTCTGTGGACAAACGCCAGCTCCCTTGGCCTGAAAGTGAGATGAGCGCCACAGCCCCATAGTCACATTTGACTGGACTCAACCGTCCAGGAGTCCTTTACCTACTAAATGGAAAAACCTGAATTAGATCCTAATCTCTGAACTCCCACATCCCACCTTGTTTAGAAGAAGAAGAGTTTGGATTTGATATCCCGCTTTATCACTACCCAAAGGAGTCTCAAAGCGGCTAACATTCTCCTTTCCCTTCCTCCCCCACAACAAACACTCTGTGAGGTGAGTGAGGCTGAGAGGCTTCAGAGAAGTGTGACTAGCCCAAGGTCACCCAGCAGCTGCACGTGGAGGAGCCGAGACGCGAACCCGGTTCACCAGATTACGAATCTACCACTCTTAACCACTACACCACACTGTCCTCAGCAAAGCAAGTATTTTAAAAGAACTGAATATGCTTGTTTTTTTACGATAGCTTGCCCTCATTGGATTATTGTGTTGAGTAATAACAGGGTGATTTGTCCACTGTTGAGTACTGAGGCGATGATTGCCTCCATAATCATTTGCATGAACGTGATGCTTCACTAACCAGTTGTCACTTTGTAGACAAAGTACATTGCAAAGGGCAGCCACTGACTGTCTCTGAAAATGTGCAGGCTTCATTTTCATTGTGAAACCAACTCCACAGATGGCTTTAAAAAAAAACATTCATGGAGGACGGGCCTATCAATTGATATTGGTTATGACCAGTGCTTTTTTCAGGGGGTATTCAGTACCCTATTTTCAAGGGTACTCAGTAACCAGCACCCCTTTTTTGGTTAAAAAGTGTGACACTGAAACAACTTCATCGTGAGTACTAGCACCTATTTTTCTAGGGAAAAAGCACTGGTTATGACAGCTAAAATATATAACACTGATGTACAGAAGCAGTATACTTCTAAAGGCTATTTTTGGGGGGTGGGACAACAGGAATGGCTGTCATATGCTCTACTTGAGAAGTGGACTAACTAGATCATGAGTGGGTGACCTTTCGTATGTGGGGCTGGGGCAACCCAGCCAGTTGGGTGGGGAATAATAATAATATTAATAATGATGATGATGATGTCAAGGACCCCCTGGAGGCTAATCTTTCAAGGGGTGCATGCCAGAAGTGAGCAGGGCTGGAGCCAAAAATGGTTGAGAACAGCTCTCTCTCTCTCTCTGGACTCATCTACACTCATGGTTTTTAACGCTAAAAATGACATTCTTTTAAAACGTTAATAATGCATTATTAAAATGTGACACCAGAGGGTGCTGCAGAGTTATCCCCGTCAAATAAGTAGGTAGACCTTGTAGAAAAGGAAGCAGAGAAACCAACGTTTAAAGAGTGAATATAGATCCAGCCTCTCTCTCCCCCTCCCTCTCCTCTCTTTACCCTGGATTTCCTTCCTACTTGCCACCCACGTGATATTACACCAAGAACTGTGTGGTGTTAGGTCTTAGGAACTGCAGACTGCCTCACCCCTGAGCTCCATGGACCTTAATTTTGATCCAGCGAGGCAGTTCTCCCTTTCTGAATGCATGTCTATAATTATTCAAGGAGGGGAGGAGGATGGTCTCTCCTAGCTTTTAATCAATGAATCCCTGGCACTTAATTATTAAGGGCTGATTCCATCAATAGCTCAGGAGAGGCAGAAGATCAGCACCACAAATTAGAACATGTGTGAAAATGAATATCATATCTTAGATGCAGGCATCACTAATTAATGGAAGATAATGTAGATTGGTCTGCTTCTGTGAAGTGGGCATTTACAGGGCATGTGTGCCTCTGAATACCACTTGCTGGGGGAACACAAGTGAGGGAGTGCTATTGTGCCCATGTCTTGTTTTGGGATTTCCTAGAGGTCTCCGATTGGCTACTGCAAGAAGTTAGAAGACAATGCTAGACAAGATTGACAGGCCTTTGGACTGAGGCAGCACAGCTCTCCTTAGTCTTCTGGATGTCTATTCAAAAGCAAGTCCCATTGAGTTCAAAATGGCTTACTCCCATTAAAGTAGGTACAAAATGGCCGCCTTATTCCTCTTGCAGAACTGCCCATATCTAGTTTCAGTGGGAGACATGAAAATGTTGTGCAGTAGAAAGTCTTCTGATGGAAATAATATAATGTACAGCAGCCATGTACAACGCATCGATCGCGAGCCCCAGGTCGACCGCCGGGTTGTTTCTGATCAATCGCAGGGCCTTTCTCTGCAACCTCAGATGCAGTAGCCACTACCACCAGTCTCCACAGCAATGCAACCCTGAGCAGCGCACGGGCGCAGGGGAGACGGAGGGAGGTGCAAGGGAGCTGGGGAGGGGTCTGCGTGATGCTGCTGGAAGAGGGGAGGCGTTGCTTAGCATTGCTTTTCCAATGGGGATCAGGATCAGGAACAGCTGCGTGGCCTCCTTTGATGGGGGAGGGGGAGGAAGGGAGGGAGGGCAGGCACTATGGGGATCCACATCAGCTGTGCGGCTCCCTTCGACGGGGGGGGGCAGAATCATGGAGCAAGGAAGGAAGCAACTCAGAAATGAAAGAGTTGAGAGAGGGGGGGGAGCTGGCTCCTCAGATCTGTGCAAACTAATATAAAAATATAGTTTGACTTTTCTTACTTGTTTAGTTACTTCTCAATCTAGTAAGTATTGGATCTCTCATAACGATATCCAAACATGAAATGAAGATTATTTATTTATTTATTTATTTGTATTTCATAAACTTTAATGAGTTCGGAGGGTGGTAGATCACTGCCAGTTTTTGATACTTGTTGGTAGATCACAGGCAAACTTGAGGTTGGACGTGCCTGGTGTACAGGAACATAATTCCCTCCCCTCCTAGGTTAAAGTCTGCATACTGCATCTACTAAAAAGCTATGGCCATGGAGTGGGGGGGGGGAGAGAATTACCTTTAAAGCCAAACTCCGACTGCAAGGCAAACTGATGGAGCAAGGCTAATCAATAGCATGATCAATAGTTTAAGAAACAGTTTACAAATAAGTTACATGCTTTCTGACTTCTGAGGACACAGTGGTGAGAAATCCTGCAGCTTTTCATAAATTACTTATTTCAGAGTTCATAACAGAGTAGTTATAACAGAGTAGCTGTAAACTGTTCTCGAAATCAAAATTTTGATAATGCCCTGGGAGCTAGCATTGCCCAATCAATCCTGATTAGCAATACAGGCAACTCCCCATTTGTGCGCAATCAACACATGCGCGGCCACTGATGCACGTGCCATTTTTGGCACTGCAAGGGGGTGGGGCAGAATGGGGTGGGGCAGGCTTATGCGCATCCCACAGATGTGCACAGTGCCTTGGAACGCAGCCCCCCAAGTAAATATGGAGTTGCCTGTTAGATTACAAAGACACATTGTTGTTGTTGTTGTTTACTCGTTTAGTCGTGTCTGACTCTTTGTGACCCCATGGACCAGAGCACGCCAGGCACTCCTGTCTTCCACTGCCTCCCACAGTTTGGTCAAACTCATGCTGGTAGCTTCGAGAACACTGTCCAACCATCTCGTCCTCTGTCGTCCCCTTCTCCTTGTGCCCTCCATCTTTCCCAACATCAGAGTCTTTTCCAGGGAGTCTTCTCTTCTCATGAGATGGCCAAAGTATTGGAGTCTCAGCTTCAGGATCTGTCCTTCCAGTGAGCACTCAGGGCTGATTTCCTTGATAGGTTTGATCTTCTTGCAGTCCATGGGACTCTCAAGAGTCTCCTCCAGCACCACAAAGACACATTAGTCCACTATAAATTTAGCATAATCCAGTAGGTTGAATGCAGACTATATCTGTTGAATGTTGGTTACATTTCTACATGGGTTAAATATTCACATTTCTAAGTGGTGCACTTAAAGACAATCGACATAAATTTACATCTATAGGACATGATAGTCATAGTTTAACTGCAGTTCTGTTTCAGTAGGAACTAAGGTCAGGCTCCAAGTCTGTAGAAGCAGCTACAAAGGACAGGCGTTGGATTTGAAAGGGTTCAGAAAACCTCACATTACTACGTGTCTCTTTTTTGCAGGGATGGGGCACCTGTGGCCCTGTAGCTGTGTGTGGACTCCAAATCCCATCAGCCCCTGCCAGCCCAGACAATGGATGATGGGAGTTGTAGTCCAACATCAACCAGAGGGCCACAGGTTGCCCCTGCCCTGCTCGATTGCATTCCCCAGCTGGAAGTTGTACTTAGAAATGTGGAAGCGAGTGTCCCCATAGAAGAACTTTAGAATGCTTTGAATAACTCTCGCAACTGATGAAGGTATAATGAAGTCAAACAAGATTTAATAAGGATAAAGTTTATTGAAAAATAGAGGCAAGTAATTAAGAAAACAAAGAAGCCATATCAAGGAAGTCGGAAGTTGATGGAATATTTTTGTAAATTTGTGATGTACCGTATTGTTCTATTGTTTTTGTTTGTAAGAGATATATTGTACTTCGTTTTGTATTCTTTTTTCTTTTTTCAAGCTTTTGTTGTGTGTGTAAATGTTGATTTTAATCCAATAAAGATAGATATATATATATATATACACACACATACACACACACATATATATGCAGGGGGATCACGCAAAGGTAATCTAGCTCAGCTGTCAGCTCTTCTCCCCTTTGCAGAGCAGCACTCTGTATGGGGCTTAGGCAGGGCCAGATTTAGGTTTGATGTGGCCCTAAGCTACTGAAGGTAATGGGGCCCTTTATATGTCCAGCTGTCCTTTGTCAACAACAAATTGTCGTCGTTTTTTGTGTGTGTTGAACATATGTTATATAGTAATTTATGGACCTAATAGGTATCTAAAGCCATTTATCAGTCTACAAGCCCTCTTTAATATTAGATAACAGGTACAACAGCTTGACCTACACTCAACTGTGCTGCCCTGCAGTCTGCAGCTGCATGCTACATCTTGCCATGCAACCAGTCCATGCAGAATGTCAGCACTCTATACAGTGGTACCTTGGGATGCGAACAGGATCCGTTCCGGAGCCCTGTTCGCATCCTGAAGTGAACGTAACCCATGTCCGCGCGTCTGCACGTGCGCGGGTCACGTTTCAGCGCTTCTGCGCATGCGCGTGGCATCATTTTGACAGTCTGCGCATGCGCATGCGGTGAAACCCGGAAGTAACACGCTCCGTTACTTCCGGGTCGCCGTGGAGCGCAACCCGAATTTGCCTAACTCGAAGCGTATTCATCCTGAGGTATGACTCTATACAGAAATGAGCAAACCAGTGATATTTTAGGGAGCAGGCTAGCAGGCGGGGCCCATTACTTACATCATAGGAGTCTACACAACACAAAACACTGTTGCTGAATGTAGGTTTTATTTTATTTGTCTTTTATATTATATTTTGGAAATGTACATCCAGTTTTTTTCCCCTTTAATTTTTTTGAGGGGGCCCAAGAGAGTGGGGAGAGCTATAGCTTGTTTAGCTTATACAGTGGCACCTCGGGTTAAGTACTTAATTCGTTCCGGAGGTCCGTATTTAACCTGAAACTGTTCTTAACCTGAAGCACCACTTTAGCTAATGAGGCCTCCTGCTGCTGCCGTGCCGCCGGAGCACGATTTCTGTTCTTATCCTGAAGCAAAGTTCTTAACCCGAGGTACTATTTCTGGGTTAGCGGAGTCTGTAACCTGAAGCGTATGTAACCTGGAGCTTCTGTAACTCGAGGTAGCACTGTACGTAATTCTGGCACTTTCTTAGCCAGATCTGGGAAATGAATCACAGAATTGTAGAGTTGGACGGGACCCTGAGGATTTCCAGCTGAACCCCCTGTGATGCAGGAATATGAATATGTAGGCACTGTGTACACACTCTATTATTTAAAAAGTGACTTAGTCTCTTTTCTTCTGGAGGCTGTGGGAGGTCAGCGTGATATTGTTGTTCAATAAGTTTTATTTATGAATAATATTAAATATGGAGAGAGAAGAATATTTAACCTCAAAGCCTTGGCAGCTTCCATACATCAGCATTTTAGGCCTCAGCCCAGCAAACAGCCTACTGAACAGCCTCCCTTGCTTCTTTAGATGCCTCTAATCTTCTCATCGGGGGAAAAAGAAGAGAAAGTTGGATGTTAAGAACCCACAGGCCTAATGGGATGGCATATTTGCTTGCTTGCCTCAGTCTGAATGGAAAGGTGAGTAGTATATTTTATTTATGTTTACTTATGTGGCGCTGTGGGTTAAACCACAGAGCCTAGGACTTGCCGATCAGAAGGTCGGCGGTTCAAATCCCCGTGACGGGGTGAGCTCCCGTTGCTCGGTCCCTGCTCCTGCCAACCTAGCAGTTTGAAAGCACATCAAAGTGCAAGTAGATAAATAGGTACCACTCTGGCGGGAAGGTAAACGGCATTTTCGTGCGCTGCTCTGGTTCGCCAGAAGCGGCTTAGTCATGCTGGCCACATGACCCGGAAGCTGTACGCTGGCTCCCTCGGCCAATAAAAGTGAGATGAGCACCGCAACCCCAGAGTCGGCCACGACTGGACCTAATGGTCAGGGGTCTATTTACTTTTTATTATATTTATTAGATGCCTTTTTGGGAAAAAGAGAAAAAAAAACTTGAAAACATTAAAAACAAGGATAAAACAACTTAAAACTCACAAGAAATATGAGAAGAACAGATCCAACTCCACCCCAGAAAAAGATAAACAGAAAATTAAGATACAAAGGCCTGGATAAATAAGGATGATTTTGCCTAGTACCTAAAATCAGATAGTGATGGCACCAGGCATGTGCTCGTGGAAGGGCATTCCATAAACAGGGAGCCACCACCAAGAAGGCCCGTTCTCATGTTGCCACACACCGTATCAGATAGGGACATGGAGAAAGGCTTCATAATAAGAATGCAAGGACTATTCATGTGGGTAGAGGCAGTTCTTCAAGTACTGGTAGTCTGAGCCGAATAAGGCTTTATAGGTCAAAATCAGCACTTTGAATTGGGCCCAGGAATTGGTTGATAGCAGTGCAATTGAGCCAGGATTGGTGCTATGTGTTCGGATAGTGTTCCATGGTGAGCAACCTCCCTGCTGAATTCTGCACCAGCTGCCATTTCCAGTCTCCAAAGGCAGCCCCACGTATAACATATAGTCATACCTCATCTTACATTTGCTTCATGTTATGTTTTTTCAGGTTGCGTCCCACGGCGACCCGGAAGTACCAGAAAGGGTTACTTCCGGGTTTAGCCGCTCGTGCATGTGCAGTAGGGCTAAATTGCGCTTCGTGCATGTGCACAAGTGCTAAATCATACCTCGCACCTGTGCAGATACGGCGCTTCCGGTTGTGGGCTTTTCACGTTGCGAACAGGCCTCCAGAATGGATCCTGTTCGCAACCAGAGGTACCACTGTATTGCAGTAATCTAACCTAGAGCTTACCAGAGCATAGACAACAGAATTTAGGCTATCCATGTCCAGATATGGGTGCAGCTGGGGCCACCAGCAAAAGCTGATGGAAGGCACTCGGCACTGCCAAAGCCATGTGAGCCTCAAGCAAAAGTACTGGAGCGACAAGTACCCCCAAGCTATGCACCTGATCCTTCAGTCTTCTCTGTATTAAGCTTCAGTGAATTGGCTCTCATCCAGTCTTTTACCAAGGCTATCTATCTATCTATCTATCTATCATCCATCCACACACACACACACACACACACACACACACACCCCTATATGCAAGACTGTACTTTGGTGCCTTGGCCTATACATGTTGCCATGGAAACTGCAAAGTTCTAGGTAACAGTTGATGTAACTCCTAATCCCTTTTAATGGCGGTGACTGTACAAGTCCTACACTAAGCAGAGACAGCTGCACATATCTATAGAAACCACAGGGTGCCGGAGAAGAGTGCTAGCCAGGCCTCTCATCTTTTGTGATGGCAAGGAGGCAGTGTTAATGTACATCGTGCACCTAGCAGCGATGGCTCCATGTTTCCATGGATACCGGAGGATTCTGCTTGCCTTTGAACAGGCCCGGATCTTTGTTCCTGGGAGGGAATTCTACAGGCTGCCAAGTCATATTGGCAATCGGAACAGAAGCCCTCCCAGGCGACTGCTGTGGGCTGCAACAATTTACTTGCGCATGTTTAAGTATTCAAAACCCACCCACGGAAGTGGCACCTCGCTCCCCTTCACCTGAGCAATCAGCGAGGCAAAAATCACTGGTGTTAACACATCAATCCACAGCTTGCTGCTTCCCCAGGAATATGTTTAGTACATCCTGTTCAATGTCACTCATGCATAGATCGCATCTGTTCAGCCAATTTGCTCTTGTAAGCAACTGCAAAGTCTCCTCCGTCAGGTGTTATCAAAGTTCCCTGGGTGGGTAGCCTGCTGATTAAACACATTGGCACCTGTAAGCTGGTATAAAGGTCAGGTGATTTTATGCCAACGTGATGAGCTGAAGAAACAGGCATTACCATAAATAAGGGTGTTTACTGTTACCACTAAGGGTGGCGCTGTGGGTTAAACCACGGAGCCTAGGACTTGCCGATCAGAAGGTTGGCGATTCGAATCCCCGCGATGGGGTGAGCTCCCATTGCTCGGTCCCTGTTCCTGCCAACCTAGCAATTCAAAAGCACGTCAAAGTGCAAGTAGATAAATAGGTACCGCTCTGGCGGGAAGGTAAATGGCGTTTCCATGCGCTGCTCTGGTTCGCCAGAAGCGGCTTAGTCATGCTGGCTACATGACGTGGAAGCTGTACGCTGGCTCCCTCGGCCCATAAAGCGAGATGAGCGCCGCAACCCCAGAGTCGGTCACAACTGGACCTAATGGTCAGGGGTCCCTTTACCTTTACCTTTACTGTTACCACTGTAGCTGCAGGTTCGGTTTGCCTTCCGGTACTCGCTGTCAACACCATTACTGCTGCTCCTTCTGGTTTCAAGTAGTTGGGAATCCATCCTGCTCAGCTAGCTTTTAGTTAAACTAGTCCCTGGCCTCTGCTTGGGTCTCCTGCTGCTGCTTGCACAAGGAAACTGGAAGGTGCTTCAGGCAGGAGAGTCAATAGTTCATTCTTAGAGGTTCTTAGGGCACTATCAAGAAACTCCCATCCTTTTTCAAGCCTTTTATGAAGGCTACTGCCGTCTCACACAGGATGAAAGAGCGCTCTCTCGCCATTAACTCCTCAAACACTGGCGCTAAGGTTGCAGTCCTGTACTCAGGTACCTGGCGTAGGAATGGGGGAGAAGTTTTGGTTCATTTTAATGGGAACCTGTTTAATTTGCTCTTCCCAAAACAATCTTTCAAAATTTGTTAGCCTTTGAAATTCGTTCTTCTCTGAATTTTGCAATAGAGGTCTCTGACTAAATAATGTGTATAAAAATATGTATATTGAGGTAAAGTGTCCTCTATCTATCTATCTATCTATCTATCTATCTCTGGGGTGAGACCACACAAAATGCATTATATTTGGGGAAATGCCTTGCAAAAGTGAATATATGAAGCAAAATTTCATCTTAAAATGCGTATATTAAGAGCACTAAAATGCTGGTGAATTTTCATGATTACAATTTTTTTAAATAGTAAACTGATGCAGAAATGGGGGAGAACTAAACTTAAGACTGGACCTTTGTTTTCTATACAAAAGAGTTATTTCTATATTCAAGGGAGTATTTACTCAACAGGAATTGTTGGCATCCCCGTTATCTGTGGTTAACTGTGCACTTGAACAGATGGCTAACCAGTTTTATATAAACTACAGTCGTATCTTGCTTCTTGAACGGAATCCATTCCGGAATTCCGTTCAACTTCTGAAAATGTTCGGAAACCAAGACGTAGCTTCCGATTGGCTGCAGGAAGCTCCATTGAATGTTCGGCTTCCGAAAAAAAGTTCACAAACTGGAACACTTACTTCTGGGTTTGCCGAAACTTTCATGTCACAAGGCGTTCAAGAACAAAGGTATGCCTGTACTTCCATTTGGTAATGCGTGCCTTGGTACAGCCATGGTTCTCTGCATGGGGCTGCCCTTGAAGGTGGTTCAGAAATGTCAGAGCCTAGTTGGAGAGGCCACTTTATTCTTTCATGATTATATTCCAATATATCCGTTGCCTCTTTGTTTCCAGGCCCAGCTGAAGAAACTGCTTTTGATCTTCAGAACATAGGCTCTGCCTCCTTCAAAGAACACCACCTCCCATAAAATCCTTCTTTTGTTTCTTAGAACTGCAAGAGAAACATAGGCCTCCTCCTTCTGAGATCCAGGTTGGTCGGCCTTCTCCTTGGTGGTGCTGAAGGCAGCCCTGTATTGGAAAGATGTTTGAAATATTATTATGTTTTTATATTCTGCGGGAAGCTGCCTAGAGTGGCTGGGGAAGCCCAGCCAGGAAGGGCGGGGTGGTACAACAAGAACAACAACAGACACCCTTCTTTTGAGAGTTTGTTGAAGAAAGGCAAACCCCTTTCCTCTGAGTGTTTTGAACATTATAAAAATTGGTTTACAATTTAAAGCTTGCTGCTGTTCGATTTCATGCTTTTTAAAGGGGTTCTATTGTTTGATTGCACAGTGTTTTAAAAAAACCCAATTGAGTTTGTTTAACCTGTTTGGGCTCTTACCAATGATACGTAAGTTACAAGAATGAATAAATGGAAATTTATTCCTGTGTAAACGTGTCTGAAAAAAATGGGGCAAAAAGTTGAATATTTCATGACCACTAAGTTTTGTGGGGGGAATGGTAACATTCCTTTTTGTCTGGCTGGTTATGCAAAAGCATAATTCAAGGTGAGAAGTGTAGCAGCTGATTCTGTGCCCCCAAAAGGAACGCAGTGGCATGTTTGACATGGCAGACCTGTAGAACATGATGTTACGAGGCCTGCCACGCTGCAACCTGCGGCTATTGAAAAGGTTTGCCACAAGGTGCCAGTTAGATTAGATCGCTCACTTTTGTAATAGCTGTCAGCTGGCGGCGGCTGTTTTTTCCTATGGCTGAGCTCTAAGCTTAGGAAGGTCGCCTCTTGCAGAATCCCAGCTGTGACAAGGGCTATATAATAAACAGCTTCTTTATGGCACAGAATCTCATAGGTGTGATTGGCACAGGGTTTTAAAGCCCTTTCATGTAACTAGCAGTGCACGTGGGCTTAAAAATGTGCAATGTTACGAAAGGCCTCCGTATTTCTGGGAATGCAGGCATTTGACTGTCAGGGACAGATTCAAGGCTTTTCATTGTCTTGTGCATTTAGAAACAGCCTTGACAGTTTTTAACTTGATAATCCTGACACCAGCTCTATGAAGTAAGTCAGCTGAGACAAACAGTTGGTTCACATATGCATATGTTCAGTATCCACTGACCGTAGCTTAAAGACATTGCGTGTGTAAAGGAGTTATCACAGATGAATCTGCAAGAGATAAAGCCAAGGCCAGATTTAGGTTTGATGAGGCCCTAAGCTACTGAAGGTAATGGGGCCCTTTATATGTCCAGCTGTCCTTTCTCAACAACGAATTGCCGCTGTTTTTCATGTTGAATATATGCTGTATGGTAATTTATGGACCTAAAGCCATTTGCACATAACAAAATATGTACAGTGGTACCTCAGGTTACAGACGCTTCAGGTTACACACGCTTCAGGTAACAGACTCCACTAATCCAGAAATAGTACCTCGGGTTAAGAACTTTGCTTCAGGATGAGAACAGAAATTGCATGGCAGTGGCACAACAGCAGCGGGAGGCCCCATTAACTAAAGTGGTACCTCAGGTTAAAAACAGTTTCAGGTTAAGAACGGACCTCCAGAATGAATTAAGTTCTTAATCCGAGGTACCACTGTATTTTATCAAAGTAATTGTTGAACTGAAATACAATTAAGAAAAAGTATATTAATAGTGAAATACAATTAAGAAGAAGTATATGGGGGGGGCCCTAGAGAGTGGGCCCCTAAGCTAAAGCTTGTTTAGTTTATACGTAAATCCGGCACTGGATAGAGCTCTTGTAAAAGACACCTGCTTCTTGGGAGAAAAGCAATGACAAACCTAGACAGCATCTTAAAAAGCAGAGACATCACCTTGCCAACAAAGGTCCGTATAGTTAAAGCTATGGTTTTCCCAGTAGTGATGTATGGAAGTGAGAGCTGGACCATAAAGAAGGCTGATCGCTGAAGAATTGATGCTTTTGAATTGTGGTGTTGGAGGAGACTCTTGAGAGTCCCATGGACTGCAAGAAGATCAAACCTATCCATTCTTAAGGAAATCAGCCCTGAATGCTCACTGGAAGGACAGATCCTGAAGCCGAGACTCCAATACTTTGGCCAGCTCATGAGAAGAGAAGACTCCCTGGAAAAGACCCTGATGTTGGGAAAGAGCACAAGGAGAAGGGGACGACAGAGGACAAGATGGTTGGATAGTGTTCTCAAAGCTACCAGCATGAGTTTGACCAAACTGCGGGAGGCAGTGGAAGACGTGCCTGGCGTGCTCTGGTCCATGGGGTCACGAAGAGTCGGACATGACTAAACGACTAAACAACAACACCACCATCCATAATTACTGAAGATGCAATAGTTTGGGGTGGGATTAATTCACATAGGCATGTTCATCATCACGGCAACATCATTAGGTGGCTTGCGTGTCTGATTGAACCAAGGTTCTGTACACATTACCATTTATTCCAGTTCCAGTGCACTATACTGCTCCCCCCCCCCCCGATAATCTTTCACCATTTCTGAGTCTTTATGGTTTTTCTGACCATTCTTCACTTCTCGTGGTATTATCCATGTTTCTGGTTTGGTTGTGAGCTGCTTTCAGTTGCCTTGGGCAAGAAGAAAAAACAACAACAGCTAAGAGATTTAATAAACAAAGCAAATAATGAATTTAATTAATGGCTGACAGGTCACCCACTGCTGGATCATCCCTGCTCTATATATAGACAGGAGATGCAGCTGTTCCACTCATGTCCTGCCTCTGGGCTTCCCACAGGCATGTGGTTGGCCACTGTGAGAAGAGGATGCTGGAGTCGCTGGGGCTTTGGTATGATCCAGGAGGATTATTCCTATGAAGTTGAACCTTGTTCTCATTCACTCTCTCACACACCTGTCTAGCAGGACTGCTTTGCCCTCCGGTCCCTTTGTGCAGAAGTGCCGCGTCGTTCCATGATTCAGCAAGGAATTAACAGCCCAGTCGAGTCCCAGCAGGGATGGTGATGAACTCTGACAGGTGACATCTGGAGCCAATAAAATATGCAGCCTTTTATTCCGTTAAGTATTCACACCCTCCCTTCTCCCCCTTGCAGTTGTTTATCCGAACATGACAGAACAATCATCAGAGAGAAAGAGAGGGGGAGGGAGAGAAAATAAAACAAAGGCATTTAAAGTTTCCTTGTGTAAGTCCCCCTGGTAAAGCACCACATTCGTGGCTGACTTCAAAGGTGTAGTAGGGGAGGGGTAGAAGTCATTAGCAGCGCATGATGTTGCTTGGTGAAAGCGCAGCAAAGGGAAGGGAGCTCTGATCAATGTACTCCTTCTTGAAGGGTTTTGGAAAGCAGATCTGGGAGACAGCTGGAAGACGGGCAGGGATGTAAGAGGGCTGAAATCTATGGCATGTGCACCCTAGAGCAAATCCCAAGTAGGGCTGGGCGATATCTGGTTTTAAGCTTTGTGGCATATCACCAGCTAAACATTGTGATATACTGACATATCACAGTGTCTGAAACAGCGATGGAGCTATGTAGCATTGGCTGTCTTTACAGTTTTTCCCACATTGTGAAGTTCCCACATTGTGGGAATGTGAATTTTGCATAGCATACACACGTCATGATTCACAATAAATTGCCAGATCAAAAATCCTGAAACCAATATCATGATATGGACTTGAAACCAGTTTTGGATGATATATCACCCACCCCTAACACACACCATGATTCATGATATAGTGCCAGGTCAAAAACTATGAAACTGAAATTGGAAAAGTGAATTAGTACCAACAAAAAAGGAATGGCAGGATAAATTATTTGAATATCTTGAACTGGCAAAAATGATGGAGAAAATCAGGAGACAGCCTAATGAAAAGTTCCAAAAGGAATGGGAAATTTATAGAGATTACTTTTTAAAAAAACAGTGCCCCCAAATCAAAACTTGGATTTGCTTTAATTTTTGCAAAACATAATATGGAGTATAAGTATAGTATGTGGAAAACAGCAGAAATGATGAAACGATAAAAGAAGCAGTTTAACAAATAGACAAAACAGACCCACTTTGGGGAAGACTGACGTCTGTCAGAGAATTAAAAAAAATGGGAATAAAGAATATGGTGTCATAAGTCCATGTATAAGAATTTATGGATTTATGGTTGTATGTATGTTTCTTGTTTTGTTGTTGTTGTTGTCATTTTATTATTTTGGTTACTTTATTGTATGTGTTTGTTTATCAAGTAAGAAAACTAACAAAAAGCATGAGGGGAAACTATGAAACTGATATCACAATATGGACTTCAAACTGGTTTTGGACGATATATCAATATATCGTCCAGCTCTAATCCCAAGGTCAGATTCACATAGGATGTCCACCAGTGTTCATCCCTCTGGCTTCTGATGTTTTCCATGGCAAATGCTGGACCAGTTTCTGCCTACAGCCTGCACAGCAGATGGATGTCATTGCAGTCAGTACAGCGGATAGTGTCTTGCACGATGGTAGGGGTTGTACAGGATTCTTCTATGCTAGGTTGTTCCTTGTAAGCTCCTCCGAGAGCAGACTATCAGCATTCTAAATAATAAATGCTATTAAGCTGCTCTAGAGTGGCATCTACTTGCTTCTCCAAAGTCTCAAGCAGAGAATTTCATGCCCTGCCACTTGACATTCAGTTATCTGGCAAAGCTAAGGATATTTTGTTTATGCTGCTGTGTTTTCTCCATTTCTGCAACCGGGGAGATGTTACAGGAGTGCAATGCTTAACCAGGTTTGGATTCCCTGGGAATACCAGAGGCATTATGTAATACTTGCAGTTCTCTACAAATATAGAGGTTGAGCATAATTGTGGAGATACAAAATTTAAGTACGCCATTCAGCTGCCAAAGCCAACGACTGCTTCCTCATCAGATCACCAGGAAGTTTATTAGCATGTTAAGATGCTTTCAGAGCCCAAACATCTCTCTCTCTTTCCATACCTTTCATAAGCTCTATCTCAAC